TTCCTCCATGGTCCCTAGCTAAGCACAATCTTAACAGTATATTAAACCTGACACTCATTATATTGACTAACTCTGTTTCATTATGGCTAACCCATTTGCAACTAATGCTTTGTCATTTGCACTCTTCACTGAGTCCATCCTGGGAGCAGGAGCCACTTGACAAAGAACAAACATTTTTAGTCCTGCCCCAGGGGTATCCACTGGTGTCCAGATCTCAAGTCACCATGCATTGGGACAGGTCAAGCAATCACAATTCAAATATCATGTGTTGCACATGGACAATGGTGACCCAATAACTGTATGTACTGATCTGCTAACTTGGGGGTGAATGCAACATGCCAGTGCAGTAATACTAACACCACCACACACACACACACACAATACTGAGTCAAACACTACATTCAGAGGGGTGCAGAAAAGATTGAAATTCAAAGTCCAAATTTAACTCTGTACACAAATAAGTGCAATAGATTTTCTTTCACAAGTTCTATAAAACTTGGGCTTGCTAATTCTAAGTTCTTTGTTTGACTTCAACTAAAATAACTTTACTAAACTGACACTTGATTAACTTCTACTTTCTTTTCTTTTCTAAGTCAACAAGTACAATCTTTCTGAGTTATCAATGCTATCTGACTTCTGTTTTTATTCTGTGCTTTGTCTGATACTGAATAAGTGTCTAAATCTGACTTCTCTATGCTGACTCCCTGATGTCCATATGGTCTGGAAGTGCCTGTTACGAAAACATCTTTTCCTATTATTCTTTTATTTTGTATTTTCTTTTCTTTTAATATTTTCTTGCTTAAGCACTATAGTGCTTACACCAGTACTCATTATATTTTCATTTCCATCTCACACATGACAACTTTATTGTCCTCACATTGTCATTTCACCTAGGAGCAACTCTCTTGTGCCTGTCAGTTCATTGACAGGACATCATCATTATTGTCCTGCCTCCACATTTCTTTTATATTGTCTTATTGTTTACTCACCAAATACCTACAGCTTTACTTATGGATATTAGCAATTCCTATTGTACATCCTCATGGTTACAGCTTGAGATATTTCCCATGGTTTCATTTCCCATACATATATAAGACAGAGTATTTTGTAGTTATATTCCTTAGCTCTATTCTTGTCTATACTCCTTGGTAGCTAGACTTGTATTGGGTCTTTATTCTATCCTCATCCTCTTCTCATCCTCTTGCTCATTGTCTATCATGTGATACCTGGTTATCTTTGGAGAGAGCTAGCAAGTTGCTGACAGTGCCTGTCAATATCCACATGCTTTCTGAGCTATTAAAGCTAGCATTTTCCTGAAACTCCCTGTCCTTCATTCTGCCATGCCAAGTTCTAATATATAAACTGCTGCATAAAGATAATACTCCAAAATTTTGTTCTGTTCCATTCCTTGTGCCTGAGCTATATAGTATTACATCATAGTTCCCACACTCCACCTTGTATATATAAGCCAGCCCCACAACCTGGTCCCTTATCTTGACCTCTTTGTCATTGGGACCAGTATCTGTCTGTTTCTGTCCAAGTCTCTGCTCCGCCCCACCACCATCGTCACCTCTTTGTGACAGTAGTGGTAAAAGGAATATAAGTGATATATCTAAGTAGCAGAATAAATCGTGAGACCTTGTGAGGACTTAGCTTTGCATAGATATAACAGATTCAGAATTCGTTAAATGGCATAATCTCATCACAAAGAACCTACCAGTCAAAACAGTAGTCTATAATGCCAATGGAACACTTAATGATGCCAGATCAATTGACAAGTACATAGAAATATGGATGACTATTGGCAACCACTTGGAAATCATACAGTTTGGAGTAGTGGGATTGGGTAAAAACAATATCTTCCTGGAGTTAGACTGGTTGTGACACCACAACCCAAGTATCCACTGGGAGACATTGGCACTAACCTTTGACAGGTGTCCAGTAAGATGTGGTTACAACCCATACTTCTGGACACCGGAGGATACCCACTCCAGGGCAGTATTACAGGAAGGCAAATAACTTTTTCTATTCAACTGGGACAGATACATTCATGAACAAGTACAGTCAAAGAAGTGGATGGAAGAACAAGCCAAGAGGGAAACAGTGAAGGAGTTTGACACTTCTGAATTCTATGTCAACAAATATCCAGATGTCTTCAGCCAGAAAGAATTCGACCAGTTACCACAGTGATGCCCTTGGGACCATGCTATCAAACTAATGCCAGGTTCCAAACCTCTCGATTGTAAAGTATATCTGCCAAATTTGAAAGAACAAGAAGCCCTTGACAAGTTTCTTGAAGAGAACCTTTGAACCAGGTGGATTCAACCCTCCACCTCAAAGATGGCATCACCCTTCTTCTTTGTCAAAAAGAAAGATGGCACCCTACATCCTGTACAAGATTATCAAAAACTGAATGAGATGACAGTTAAAAACCAGTACCCACTCCCTCTCATTCAGGAAGTGATCAATCATTTAAAGGGTGCTAAAGTCTTCATGAAGATGGATATCTAGTGGGCTTTTAACAACATCCAGATAAAGGAAGGTGATGAATAGAAAGTGGCTTTTCAGACCAATCAGGGATTATTTGAACTGACTGTTATGTTTTTTGGACTCACTAACTCTCCTGCAACATTCCAAGGTTTCATGAATCACATCTTATGAGACCTCATCAATGGTGGACACATTATAGTCTACATGGACAACATTCTGATCTTTACCAATGGCATCAAGGAACACTGGCGAATCATAAAACAAGTACTTGACATTTTACAGGAGCACAAATTATTCCTTAAACCTGAAAAGTGCTCTTTCAAAAAACCGGCTATTGACTACCTCAGCATTATCATTGGAAATGGGACTATTTGAATGGATCCAAAGAAGGTACAGGCAGTATGGGAATGGATTACTCCATGGAAAAAGTGCAACATTCAACAATCCCTGGGGTTTTGTAACTTCTTTTGACAATTTATTCAAGGGTTCAGTCTTGTTGCCAAACCACTAACACAGCTCACAGGTAATGGAACTTGGAAATGGGAGAAACAGGAGGAAGCATTTGAGGAACAAAAGAGGAGGATTTGTGAGGAAGTAGTCCTCTTAATTCCTCATAACCATGGGAGATTCCATGTGGAAGCTGACTTGTCCAATTATGCTAACAGCGCTGTTGTCATATGTATGTGAATCAAGTTATTCTGTGATTCTGTTATGATCATGCACAAAGGGATCATCGGAAAGGGTCACGGGATGATCATGGGAAATAGCGAAGATAGACACTTCACAAGGTAAAATGATCCTAGACTATGTAGCCGGACCTTGACTCCACTATTAGTAGAGTCCTCGACACTTTGTGTGTCCACAAGAGAAGAATGTGAAACATGTTCCATTCGCAATGACCGTCGCGGAACGTACTGACAGTAGGGATGTTAAAACGATGATATGGGTAAGTGATTAATTGGTATCACTATCAAAGTGCTATCAAGGTTGATATTTAAACTGAGGAACTACCTATTCAATACTGTAGCTTTATACTAAAGGTAAGTCAGGATCGTGAAGCAATGCCATGCCTGAATGGGTTAGCTTGTAAGTAAAGAACAAAGGAAGGGATATAAAAGGGATAGTGTAAATCCGATAAAGATGATAAGAGATAACGATAAATGGCTTCACATCGGAATTCCTTTGCGAAGTAATTGCGTAGTAGTAAAAGGATATAAGCAGTATACCAGTCCCATCCGAAAGCAACATAAAGATGGCCTATACCACGGATGGCGGGGATTGCATAACTGGCATGGCCAAAGGGTGCATCAAGAATGAGGCCATAGACCTATGGACAGCACACACTGAAGCAGAAGCCCTCAAACAGACAGGACAATATGCTTGATTTTGGAACGATGTCCACCTGGCCAGTGAATAACCACATATTGCCTGTGATCATCATGAAGCCCGTTCAGGGAGAGGATATACTGCAGTCCGATTGTTACAAGAAAGCCAAGGAAGACGAAAAGCGAAGACTGAGAAAATCGTTCAAAGACGAATTACGAAAGACGGTTTTGTTGTTAGCCAAGAATCAACAGATTCTCCATGTGCAAATTCATCTCATCTTAGCGACTTGCTAGTTAATTGATCCTTCCGTTTCATATAGCAATTGGACGTCCAACAATGTACGGGTCCATACTGCCGCCAAATGGGGAATTGGAAAGTGCAAGATCGAAAGCGTAACGATTGTGAACTGGAGTTACCCTAATGTCTTTCATGTGAAGCCTAATCAGAATATGCCTAACTTTGTAGGTCGAAGATCAAGAAATTCGAGGATGAAATCGCTGACTATGAATCTTGATTTGACTAGGATCAGTGGTTCGATAAACGGTTCAAGTTATCTCGTCCAGATATACAGGCGTAGTTAACGAGTATCAATGCCCGCACTTGGTTGGTTTGAACGGTTTCTCCCGTGCTTTACCAAGTATCTTATGGTATCACTACTTATCATTCCTGTTACCCGTTCTTCTCCACCATGATGGCATCGACACATCTCTATCCTTTCATCTTCATAGCTAGCTCTCTTGGCTCATTTTTTGGACGACATAAATATACAATGACCTGTTATCATATATCTTCATTTTTGCATGTCGCCTTTCCATATTATCAGGAATTGGATGCGTTTCACTAAACAGCTGCAGACCTGCTTGCGATCTCTATCCACATGCATAATTATCTGCTCTATGATCTAAGGAATGAACCCTATACAGAAAGCTTCGAGAAATCACAACCAAAAGTAACACTACGACTAGTAAGTCAGGCCTCCAACCTCCAAGGTGTAGCACGTATTACCGTCGGACAAAGACTGCGGGGAATTCATGCTTCTGCTCAACCAACCGCCTAAGGTCCGATAAGTAGAACGATAGATTTATCGGGAGAACCAGATCTATTCCGACTCGGAGCATTTTGCGATAAGATCCTTGGTGTGTGGCATAAAACATTGAGTATTTAAACCATACAACCAGACTGAATGGACAAATCCGGATTTGAACCGGAGACCTTTCGCACATTAACAATGCAAAGCGAACGTGATAACCCCTACACCATATGCCCATACATACTACTGAGTGTAGGCCCATGATATAGGATCCATGTTATAGAGCAAGTTACACAAAATGTACTGTATATGTTGACCTTATCCTTCCGAAGCTACAACTCACTATCCCGCCTCATCCTATAGTAGAAAGGCGGACGATCCAGGGAGGAATTCCATGCTGTTGAGCATAAAGAATAACCAGTGTTAATGACGTAAGCACATTCACAATATTTTGTTCGAGGAAGGGGAATCACATACCGAACCTTCTCTTCCTGGATGGAGTTAAAAAGACCCAGTCGATATGTGCTAAGGTTTGCCCATCACCTCATAAGCCGATAGGCCGTCCTTGTCCTAGCAGAGTCCTCATCCTCCTATCTCCCTCCTTGTGCTAAGGACCTCAGTATGATTGCTTATTCGATGCATTGACCTGTTCGTTATTTGCAAGGAAGGAGGAATTGTCGGAGTCCGTGTTGTGTATCCCGGCTTACCAGCGCAAAGAAGGATAGCCCATCCGTAGCTCATGCCACAGCAAAGTTGAACGACGCTTTGAAGTACGGCAGCCAACGTAGTAAAGTAAATGAAGTCCTACAGCTATCACGTCAGTACGAGGATACCCAGGTAAAGAAAGCAGATATCACATTCCGAACGGCAATATAGACAAGATAGGAAGAAACCACTAGGATTCGCAGAGGATTTCTGAAAATCGTTGCGAGCGCCAATTTGATCGAACGCGGTATTCAGGACAATCAATAACGACGGTAAAGCAGGCAATGCTTGTCCTGACGCAGACTCAAAAGGCTGATAAAGGAACCGACAAAGGAATATCATCCTAGAAAAACGCTTCAGAAGCAGCGGTGGACGTCCTCGACGTCAGTGTCCCTTATAATAATGCAGATAGTGGATCCCCGAAGACTCGAAGTAACGGATTGAGAATAGGTAGTTTGGACAAGTTAGAAAGACGAGAGAAGGCCGACAAAAATCCGTGTTCCGAAGTCGTACGAGCTGAGGTTCACGACGAAGTTCATGCGGTGCCTCGCTTTCGCTGGTTATTCCTGTCCGAATCCCCCTCCGAGTCCTAGCGATACCTTGTCTCATTCACAGAGAAGCGAGCTTGAACTTGAGCGTAAGAAATAACTTCGTCGTGGCGGAATACACTGTTGAAGCAAGTAAGCTTGAGCAAATCAGCCGGAGGAAGGTTCGTAAAATGCACCGATAGAACCGTGGCTACTATCAAACCGGGGAATAGGAAGGGCCTCAAGGCTCGAAGCAGTCAAATCTGAAGACAAGACGCCCAGCCAGCATATGATGCTGATATTTTTGAATATAAACGGTCCCAATGGGGAGGGAAGGAAGGGAAGTCGGCGGCGCTTTCTTAAATAATGATTGGCGCCCGATCTTTTTTCCTTATGCATCCACGAAATATCTATCGCGATGGAACCGACTTTGTTCAGCTTTCAATTGTGTATCCACCTTTGAGCAAATAGTGAGTTGTTCTTGTAATTCAACTGACTTGTTTTTGACTAATAGTAGCCTCATCGAGCCTCACAAAACAATTGACTTCGGAGATCAGAATGCTCAGAGGTATAACTATTGTTCACTACTGCAAGTCTCCATTAGCTCAACGATTTTCTAGATGCTTGACTGAAGCTTTGCTTCATCGTGACTTCAAGTTGAAGATACAGCTTCCTTTAGACAGACTTTGTCCTCCCGTGCGTCCTAGCTTCTTTTATCTGATTTTGCAAGCTCTGAAAAAGGTTGACATAGGTTCCGAATAGGTCTTTCTGAATCTTAAATTCGGTCGTGTCAGTGGACTGAACCTGTTTCAGGCTTAACTATATTTTGTGGCTGCAGGATATCAACCTTGCATCACGCTATATTGAAGAACACGGGCCATACACGATAGTTCAAGGCATCGATATGTGAGCTGGAATTGCCCGCTGCAATCTTGGGTCTTGATTGACGATACTATAGTGGCACAGGCGCGTCAGCTATTTATCCACTTCTAGCGTGTACGTTGAAGAAATCATGGAAGTTCGTGGTTTCTGGTACGCACAGTACATCGCCGTCTCCGTGTTCCATTCTTATCCTTCTTACCAGAGATCGATCCAATCTCGTTAGAAAGCGCTCAGCAAAATATCTCAATCAATGAACTTGACGATCGTATTCACATCGTTCAATGTAATGCAACGTCGCCGGTCCTTCTTCCTTTGGTGCTGGATGAAGACAAAAGGTGCTGGTTCTCCTCTCTTTCATTGTTCCGCGTTTTCAGAACTCTTTGAACGATAGATTCGATTTTACCATGTGCAATCCGCCTTTCTATAGCAGCTTCGAAGATGTCTCTCAATCAGCCGAGGCCAAACAATATGGTCCAAATGCCGTCTGCACTGGTGCAGCAATTGAAATGATTACCGTTGGCGGCGAATCCGCGTTCGTTGGAAAGATGGTCAAAGAAAGCTTGGGTATTCAAGAGAGGTGCAGGTAAGCTTCGGATGACCGTTGTTGGTTCGTGTACCGACATAGACATTCTGTGGTAGATGGTATACTTCAATGCTCGGTAAACTTTCCTCGGTAGCAGAAGTGGTGGATATTTTCACAACATATTCGGTGCGGCGAAACTCCGTCCACACCATCCCTCTCCGATATCATATCATTTCTTTTGTAGATCGATAACTACATCATCACCGAGTTTGTACAAGGACAAACTCGCCGTTGGGCTGTTGGCTGGTCGTTTTCCGATATACGATTACCAGATGTGAGCATTTTGCATTACAGGGCGTGTTTCGCTTACATTTATCTGTCAGTCCATCTCTCGCCTTCAAAAGCCGAATCCAGTCATCTCGAAATATGTTCCTGCCCATAACACAATCCTACAACCGGTAGTATCGATCTCGAGGGAAGTATTATACGAGACCCTGTCAACTATCTTGTCTTCAATTGGCAAAATCTATATTCGATTTCCAAATGATTTCAATGAGCGATCGACTTCTGAAATGAAGGGCATTGACCTCGAACCGAGTAATGGATTCCTTGTATTCGCTCAGGAAGATACTTGGTCGCGAAGTGCCCGTCGACGACAGAAGCGGCTACTTGATGACTCGGGAGCAAGATCAGGGCTTGACTCACTCAGTCCTCCAACACTTACCACAATGTACTCGGAGGAAGTCATATCGTCGCGTTCGACTATGACTTGCTCTATACATATCAGAGATTCTACATTCAGAAATGTGGATGTTGCAATGAGAGACGCAGCAGGAAAGCATGGAAAACCAAGCTTGTCGGTGTCAAAGCAGGATTTGAATGTTGAATTCACTTGGAGAAAAGGACGTGACCGGCGGCTTTTTGAGAGTTTTTGTAGTCATGTCAGTAGGAATTCAATGTAACACCAACGCTATGCCCATAATACTATTACAACTGCTTTATTTCCTACACCTACTAGGTCTCATTGAGATGGCGAGTCGTTAGGTACCACATGTAAAAGTATTTTTTGCAAAGTATCCTCTAATTGAGAGAGGCGCTCGTTCACCACACCCTTGAACTCTATGAACTGGTTTTCAACCCCTACGAGCCTGTTCTCTACAAGAGATAGTTTCGCGTCTGTAGCAGAGAGTTCTTCAGCCTCCTCCGCATCGTGAATGCGAATCAAATGGTCTTTATGTTCGTGCCAGCTGGCTGGGCCATCCGAGAGCACTGGTATTCTAGAACGTTCACATTCATCGCAAACATAAGTATCTGGAGCTATATAATACTCAATTGATGAACAATTGTCAGGGATGGAAAAGAAGCTTACTACAGAACAGACACACCCAACACGGCGTGTTCACCTCTTTCCCGCAACAACAACACATTGTCTCCATTCTTTTCGACTTTTTGGGTCTAGCGTCTTTCGTTCCCTCTTGTTGAGCTTCATTGATACGTGACTGTTTTGTACGAAACACTCGTTTGACTCGTGTAGCTACATGATGAGCTTCAGGAATGGCCCATGCTAACAATCCGTCCAGAATCACACTGTCAACCTTGAGCATCGCATGAGAAGGAACGTGCTTGTAACCCTTGGTATTTTTGGAAAGCTCTAAGCATTCAAGGCAGAAGTCAAGGCCGCGACTGAGATCATTGCGAATGCAAGTGAGACAAATCAACCGGCTTTGGATGATGGTTTTGTCACATTTGCTACAGGAGCAGTCCCTGGAAGTAATCATAAGCTGCATTCTTTGTTTGGATTTAATTTGAAGACTCACAGATGATCAGTGTACGTCGCTTCAATGATGGAAGGGACGAGAGAGTAATAAAACCGGGCATCGGTGGGATGGATAGTCGCCAGCATTACACGGTGTTCCTTGCCTTCCTCAGCACTCAGGGGATTCGAAGGACTACAATCTTCCACTTCTCGGCGAACTAGCAGCTCAAGAAATCGCGTCCGCTCACCAGTGCGATTTCTCAAGTAATGCCAAGAACCGCTTCGCCGTCGTACCAGATCTAGAACAGCATTGCAAGCGAAAGCCCATCGGGCTCGGGGAGTGGTACTGAGCTGACCAAACGGTGTGTGAAACCGCCAAGCAAACGCAGGGGTTCTGGTAAACAAGAAAGTTGTCGTCTCTTTCTTCTTCCGTGTTACTTTGGTGGTGGACGTGTTTGATGAAGCGGCATCGTTTGCAATGGCCTTCCGTTTCCGTTTTCTTAGCCTGCCAGTAGTGAACGTCCCACTGAGCACATTGCGTTCCGAATTCCAGCTGCCTTCACAGGTGACCAGGTCCTTGTCTTCGTAGAGTAACACCAATCGTACGTGATTCTCAGAAGTGATCAACCCAGAGACAGTGAGAAGACCCTGGTAGGCTTCCGCAACACCCGTGATTTCTCCTGCGTCGTTGACGTTGGTGATAGAGATCTGGAAAAGTCCCTGTGTCGAATAAAATTCCTCCCAGTCCTGGGTCCATAGATTTCCTGCCCAATATCCCGATAAGAAATGTCTGGATGTGTCGGGATTGTTATCATTGTAATCAAATGTCGATATAGAGTGCTT